GAACAAATCTGCATGACCGTCATCACGTTGTGACCGATGGGGTTCCTACCGCTGTAGGCGAGCGTGCGTACGTTGAACGTGCCGAACGATAGGTCGCCCTCTCGTGCCTTCTTCTTCGCAGCTGCCTTGACGGCCGCTGCGGTCTCGTGTCTCTCTCGGTCCACCTCGCGTTGCGGGTGTGCTTTCTTCCGTCTTTTCCGAGCGGCGAGTTTCCTCGCATCAATCCATCTCTGCAGAGCTCGGTTCTTGCCTGTGATGTTTTGACGAGGAGGGTGCAGCACTCCCTCCCCGCGGTGCCGCGCTTGTCTCCCTTCTCCCGCAAGGGGTGCTTACTGACGTGGTGTTTACGAATCTCTCTACTCCTCCAGCTTCGTGGGCCACGCTTTCCGCGCGTGAATGTTTCTCCACCTGCACTATTGCGGGGCACCGCGGTGCCCAACCTGCACTATATCGGGTATCTTCCTCAATAGTGCAGATCCTGCACTATTGAGGGCGCCGTCTGTGCGCAGAGATTTTACCTGCACTATATCGGGCGGTTGCACTATTCAAAGTGCACTATAGGGGGCCCACTACTGTACTACAATACTAGAACTGCTGTACGCATAAAAAAGAGTAAACCAGGGTATTAACGAACACCCCCCCTTTAACGAACACTTTTTTCAAATGCACGTCCCTCGAGGCACCATCCGCGGAGACCCCCAACTTTGTTTTTCAATTTTTCAGCTTTCCGTTGGCTTTCGTTTGAGCACCTCCGCGTGTCGATCGGGTCAAGCACTCCCGAGATACAGCACAACCCTCACCCACACCCCTGATGCGGGGCATCTTTGCCCTTTTCGGGGTCCTGCATGGGACGTACGAGAGTAGACCCAGAGCAGGCCCATAAGGCTGTAGATGCGGCACGCAGCGGTGAGATGTCGCTCGGCGTTCCTGCGAAGACCTACGGGTTACCGCTAGCCTCGCTGCACGACCGTGTGAAGAAGAAGGTGGTCATAGATGCGAAGGTTGGTCCCAGGACTGACTGTCCTGAGCAAGGAGGAGGAAGATTTCCTCGAGGACGGCAACGGATCCCGACAACAATCGTTGATGTTTAGACTAGGATAGATGCTTTACGGTTGTCGTTTTTTTTCTGGACTACTGCTGTTGTCTTCTAGGCGGTGGATGAATTATTCGAGTAAAGTAGAAGTTGACGTGGTTTGTGGGGGCATGTAGAGATGGTTAGGGTGCACCCCAGCAGCGCGGGTGGGGCGGGGGTGGGTGATACCGGGAAACCCGGGGATATGGTAATTTTGTCCCCGGGTATGCATGTTTTGTTTTTTTGCAACAGTGTTTCTTGTGATAGAACAAACCTACCCACCAAAGGGCGTCTTGTGGGAATGCAAGACGACTGTGAAATAAGGGAAATGGCCTTGGGGTTCTTGCGGAGAATTCTTGCAGTGGCGGCCAGGTCAAGGGGTGCCTGTTTGAACGGGCATTACATCACATGCGCAACGTCTTTCGGCCTAATTTTTTTTTCGGGAGTCTGTATGTGATCAGATCAGACCCACTGTACATTAATCTCTTAGTTTTGACTCTTTTCATGTGCGCAGCACCGCCGCACGGTCAAAAATGGGGTAAAATCCGTCCCCGATTTCAGCCGGAAAACCCGGGGATGTGAGTATTTTGTCCCCGGGCGTGGATCGATTCCATTTTTTTTGTCTCAAATGGATTTGTGTTGCAATAGACGTATCTACACAAGAAAACAGATCGTGAAACGCTTCAGAACGCGCAAAATCAGCCACAAAGCTGAAGTGTTCGTTGATTGGGGGGGGGGAGTGTTTTCCTACATTTTTCGTTAAACAATGGAATGCACTGCATCAGCTATATCTCATTGACACGAACGACTTTTTTTTTTTTTGAGAGGTAGCCTACGACATATCCTATCGTCAGATATCTACAAATATTTCATAATCCTTTTCACGCCCGAGAATGAGCTATTGGCGCGAGGGTTGGCTCAAGCGTTCATTTATTGGGCGGTTTACTCAAGTAGTAGTCTAGTCTAAACAAACAGCGACTACTTGAGAAAAAGCAAAGATACACATTGACTGCTACAAGCGCGTGTAGATAATCAAGCAGCTGCATGCTGCTGCTGTGTGCCGTATGTATCAACATCTATCCGTACAAGGGGCTTCGCGGCGGCCTGCTGACGCGGCCGTAATTCTGTAGGCGTGTTTTGAAGTGTCCCTAGCAGGCCGACTCAGACTCCTGGAGTTTTGCGGTTGGGTATTGTATATTTATTTGGACGTCTGTTGCGAAAAACGGATCGTCAGTGAGGAAAGGTATGATAACGCAACGTGTAATATTGCGGCATAAGAGAAGATGCACATCCAAATTAAAGTCGTGACGCGATTCGCAACACAACGTAACTGCGGGCGCTGCACGAAATCCTAGCAACACTAGGTAACTGCGGGCGCTGCTGAGCGCAAAACGAAATCCAGTGCTGAGCGCAAAAACAAATCGCAAAACGAAATCCATGGCAAGACGAGGTTACCGCGGCGCAACACCAGGTTACAGCGGGCGCCGCTGAGCGCAAAACGAATGCAGCGCTGAGCGCAAAAATAAATTGTTACTGCGGCCGCCGCTGAGAGGAAAACGAAATCCAGCGCTGAGCGCAAAAACAAATAGGGGCAACACTAGGTTACTGTGGGCGCCGCTGAGCGCAAAACGAAATCCATTGGTCATGGTAGAAGTGATTAAACACAGATTCGAAACGCTCGTATTCCTCAAGTTGTGCGTCTAGGTCGTCGTCGGTATCGGCAGTCTCGGCGTCGAAGATGGGATTGGCCTACTCTTCATCGGTGTAAAGGCATTCGTGGTAGAGATCGACGTAGTACGCCAGGATGAGTGCTTCAAAGCGCTCAAGTTCCTCGAGTTGGGGGTCTGACGACATGATGGTCACACCTGTAGGGACGCGGGGATAGGATGTGGAAGAGGAGAAAGTGTTAAAACGCAGGAAGAGTAGTGCATGCTCATTGTAGAGAAGTTGAATTGAGGATGGGTCGCTGTCGGTAGGGTTTGGCAGTTGTGACTGTGAAAAGGAAACGTTGATGGGGATGTTGTTTCTTCGGCTGGCAGCTCAAATTTCAGGTTGCCCGAGGTACGCTCTGGGGTGGGTCGTCATACGATGAGTAAACTGTAGGAGTCTCTCCGAGGATGTGCAGGAATTCTGAGGCGATGCCTGGGGAGATAGCATTTTGGAAGTCAGGATCGTTTCTATTCTGGCTCATGTACTGAAGTACTTCAGAGCAAACTTGTGAGTGTCTATCAGGATCGCCGTATATGCGCCTAGATATGGCGCGGAATCCGCACGCACCATCGCCGATTTCGAGGACAACGGACCAGATGTTTTGGGGTGGTGACGGCGGAGGATGTTGGGGAGGAGTTTGCGTGGAATAAGGGTTGCCGGATGGAGGAGGGGGAGAAAGAGGTGATTGTGTTTGACCAGTTGCGGCTTCTGTGAAGGGAGCGTACATGCAGTTATCGACGTGAGCGACACCGTTCATGATATGCTCAGGCGGCACGAGGATGATGACGGAATGCCTATTTTTTGCCCTTGAGAGCGCAACATACAGCTGGCCGTGCGAGAAGCAGTCGGAACGCAGATCAAGGCCTATTCACGACAAAGTTTTCCCTTGAGATTTGTTAATAGTGAGGCTGTAGGCCACCCGGATCGGGTATTGAACGCGGTTGAAGGTGATGCCATTCCGACCCACTTGTGCACGGAAAGAAATACGCGGAATGAGGACGATGGTGT